GTGCCACCATGCCCGGCTCATTTTTATATTTTTAATAGAGATGGTGTTTCACCATATTGGCTGGGCTTATCTTGAACTCTAGACCTCAGGTGATCCACCTGCGGTGGCCTCCCAAAGTGCTGGGATAACAAACATAAGCCACTGCGCCTGACCTGCACTTGAGTTTTTTGATATTTGCATCATAAAAGACACCTGACTGATAAGTTTCAGAACTGGGAATTAAATCTAAAACTCTAAAGCCCTTGCTACTCACAATGAATATTTCTGAAAGCATTCTCTTTAGTACACTCATTCTGAATATTTTCAGAGTGATTTTTTGAGTACTGAGAGCAATCTTAGTACTTCTAACCACTAAAAGTATTCCTTACTTTATAAAGTGGATATGTTCCTCAAAAGTCATGTGTAAATAATTTAAACATACATAATTTCGAATGCATTAAAGGATTTTAAAAGAAATATATAATATATAGTCATAAAATATTCAGAAAACATTTTTATGACACTAAATAGGAAATTAGGTGGGGATTAGCTAGTTTAAAATCGTATCCAATGACTATTTTTTCAAATTATGGTTCATCTGTCTGGAACTTACAATGCAGTTTTACTATCAGGAACCTCAGAAGGCAGGTAAGTCAGGCTTAAAAGAATTACCCCACACCTGCTAGGATGGCAATAGCCAACATATAAACAAAGGTTGGCAAGGATGTGAAGATACTGGAACCCTTATGCACTGTCAGTGGGAATGTAAAATGATGTGGCTGCTTTGGAAAACATCATGGAAGTTGCACAAAAGGTTAAATGTAGAGTTAGCATGAGACCCAGGAATTCTATTCCTAAATATATGCCCAAGAGAAATAAAAACATATGTATACACAAAACTTGTACACAAATATTAATAGAAGGATAATTCATAATAGCCGAAAAGTGGAAACAACCAAAATGTTTATCAACCAAGGAATAAATAAATAAAACGTGTTCCACATCATGGAATATTATTTGCCTTAAAAAGCAATAAAGTACTGATACATGTTGCACCATAGATAACCTTGAAAACATTATACTAAATGAAAGAAGCCAGCCACAAAAGACCATGTATGATATGATTCCTTTTATATGAAGTGTCCGGAGTAGGCAAATCCACAGAGACAAAAAGCAGACAGTGGTTGTCAAGGCCTGGGAGGATTGAGGGGAAATAGGAAGTGATTGCTAATGGATGTGATTTTTTTTTATCATGATGAAAATGTTCAATCTTAATTGTAGTGACAGGTGCTAAAACTCAAGGAATTATATACTTTAAATAAGGTGAATTGCATGGTGAATTATACTTAATAAAGTGTTATATGAAAAACAAAGGAAAGAATGAATTAACCCAACAACCAAGATCAGGAGTTCAGGAGATCCTTCCAGCTTCTGGGAGATAGTGAAGATCCTCAAGTCACTAGGCTCTGTCAATCTGGCACTGCCTGTTTTTTTCTGTGAGCTTGAAGTGCAAAGTTTGCTCCCATAGGGCCCTCACCTTCAAATTCCTAAAGTTGACTTAGCAATGAGACTCTAGTTGTCTTGCTCTTGTAGCCTTTTTTCTATTTTACCCTATAGGCAAGGGGTAGAGGTTTAGTCTCTAATGGTGTAGCCAGAGAGATGCCCGTTAGAATCCTTTCTCCTTTATTTCTTAGTCAAATGACTTTGGAGAGGTAATGTGAGTTCCCTAAGCCATCTATAAAACAGGAACAATAACAATAGTTCCCTCACAAGGATAAGTTCAGAGTTGAAGACATCATGCACATGAAATACAGAGCACAGTGCTTAGCACATTGCATGTCATCCATCACTTCTATCCGTCCCTGACATCAGAGTTTTCATCAGCTCTTTGGTACTGGAATATTCCTCTGCTTAAGTCCTGCTCAGAATGAAAGGTGTATGCTTCTTGCCCATGGCATGCCTCTGGTAACTCCAGGCCTGGCAATGTATTCATAAAATCTGTCTAGTTTCTACATGGACTTTCTTGAATGAAGAGGTGTTTCTTTTTATGTTTCACTTAATCAAAATTATTCTGAGTCTCCAACAGGTGGAGAAAGAGTGCAAGATGAGGTTATTCTCCTCCATAGAGACCAGGCTTGGTGGCTGGGAGAATTGCTTGAACCCAGGAGGTAGAGGCTACAGTGAGCTGAGATCGTGCCACTGCACTCCAGCCTGGGCAACAGAGTGAGACTCTGGCTAAATAAACTAATTAATTAAATTAAATAAATAAAAAGATAACTAAAAAAAAAAAAAGAAGGTTATTCCCTTCCATAATGATGAGAACAGAATAAAATATCTCAAATATGTCCTCCGATATGGTCCTCCACAGCCCTTCAGTGGAAAATAAGAGGACAGGCAACCTATGTTCAAATTCCACCGAGTCACGGCACCAAGGGAAAAAAAAAAAAAAAAATTCCACCTCTCCTTCTTGCAGCTGTGTGGTCCTGGATACATTACCTGACCTTTCTAAGCCTCAGTTCCCTTGTCTATACAAATGGGAAAAATAATTGTATGTATCTGTCTTCATCTGTTTGTGCTGCTATACCAATAACTTAGACTAAGTAATTTATAAACAACAAATTTAGTGTTTATAGTTCTGGATGCTTGGAAGTCCTAGATCAAGGCATCAGCAAATTCAGTGTCTGGTAAGGGCTTACTCTCTGCTTTATAGATAGCACCTTCTGACTGTGTCCTCACAGGGTAAATGGGCAAACAAGCTCTCTTTCAGGCCTCTTAGAGAAGGGCAATAATCCCATCCATGACAGCTTCACCCTTATGACCTAATTTCACTTCAAAGGCCCCAACTCTTAATACTATTGCATTGGAGATTGGTTTCAACATATGAGTTTTAGGAGGACAAAAGCATTTGAATCATCCAGTGCCTCACATTAGTTGTATAGGGTATTAAATGAGGCAGCATTTATAAAGCTCTTGTTCCAGTGCTTGGCAAACAGTAAGGGTCTAATAAATGCTTTAAAAAATCGTTTGTGAAATTTTTAAGAATTACTGACAGAAAAAAAAAGTGTACTTCAAAAACACTATAGAAGGCATTTTATTTTATTTTATTTTATTATTTTTGAGATGGAGTTTCGCTCTTGTTGCCCGGGCTGGAGTGACCTTGGCTCATCGCAAACTCCACCTCCCGGGTTCAAGCAATTTGCCTGCCTCTCTCTCCAGTAGCTGGGATTACAGGCACGCATCACCATGCCCATCTAATTTTTGCGTTTTTAGTAGAGACGGGATTTTATCATGTTGACCAGGCTGATCTTGAACTCCTGATCTCAGGTGATCCACTCATCTAGGCCTCCCAAAGTGCTGGGATTACAGGTGTGAGCCACTGTGCCCCGCTGGCATTTTATTTTATTATTTTATTTTTAGTATTTTTTTTTTTGAGATGGAGTCTTGCTCTGTGGCCCAGGTTGGAGTGCAATGGCGGGATCTTAGCTCATTGCAACCTCCACCTCCTGGGTTCAAGCAGTTCTCTCTGCCTCAGCCTCTCTAGTTGCTGGGCTTACAGGTGTCCACCACCATACTCAGCTAATTTTTGTATTTTTAGTAGAGATGAGGTTTCACCATGTTGGCCAGACTGATCTCAAACTCTTGATCTGAGGTGATCCGCCAGCCTCAGCCTCCCAAAATGCTGGCACTACAGGTTCAAGCCACTGCCCTTGGCCTAGAATTTTATTTTATTTTATTTATTTTTTTTGAGACAGAGTCTCGCTCTGTCACCAGGAATCAGGCTAGAGTGCAGTGGTGTGATCTCGGCTCACTACAACCTCTGCCTCCCAGGTTCAAGCAATTCTCCTGCCTCAGCCTCCCGAGTAGCTGGGTCTACAGGCATGTGTCACCACACCCAGCTAATTTTTGTATTTTTTTTTTTTAGTAGAGATGGGGTTTCACCATGTTGGCCAGGACAGTCTCGATCTCTTGACCTAGTGATCCGCCCGCCTCCCAAAGTGCTGGGATTACAGGCATGAGCCACTGTGCCCGGCTGAATTTTATTTTGTAATAAACTAAACAAAACAAGACACCCGGATAAGGTGAGCAACTTGTCCTAGTTTGCACACAACTTTCCAGCTTTTTAAAACTGAAAATCCTTTGTCCTGCAAAGCCACTTAGCACGAGGCAAACAGGAAAGCTGATCAGCCTATATAGACACCAAATTTAAGATGTGAGGGTCACTCTGAACAATTAATAGCTGCCATGAATTTAGTGGTAAACTGGCATGATTATACACACTTTAAAAGCCAAATTCCACATAATGAATTAGAACAAACCTGTGCTTTAGGTTTTATTTTTAGGCTCATTTAAAGATTAAAACTAATAGCAATTCGGAGAAATTACATTGTTAAAACCCTAGAAGAAGAATAGAGTGGGGATTTAAGCAACAATTTATTTTTTTATTTTTATGTTATTTTATTTTATCGAGATGGAGTCTTGTTCTATAACCCAGGCTGGAGTGCAGCGGTGCAATCTCTACTCACTGCAACTTCTACCTCTCAGATTCAAGAGATTCTCCTGCCTCAGCCTCCCAAGTAGCTGGGATTACAGGTGCCTGCCACCATGCCCGACTATTTTTTTGTATTTTTAGTAGAGACAGGGTTTTACCATGTAGGCAAGCCTGGTCTCAAACTCCTGACCTCAGGTGATCCACCCACCTTTATCTGCCAAAGTGCTGGGATTACAGGTGTAAGTCACCGTGCCTGGCCTAAGCAATGGTTCAAAACTAGGCCCCTGCTACCAGTTACCTATTAATGAATAAAAAGGACAGAAAGATTGTAGAACACTTTGCCTTCCAGAGTGAAAATATTAATGGTCCGAAAAGGGCATTTGTAGTTTCACTGATCATAAGTAGGAAATTAGGGATAAATCAGGATATAGGTTTAATATTTGAGGCTGATTTATTGGATCTCTGCTGGAGGCAGAGCATTGGCTGAACTGGGGTGGAACTGCTTACATGAAGCCGTGAAGAAGGGACCTACCTCTTCACATGCACCACGTATTTTGTGTCTATGTAGGTGAGCTTCCCAGCATTCCAGGTGCAAGTCATGTTGCCTGAATATTCATAAATGACACAGGTTACCTCATCAGGAACATCTGGCGGATCTACAACAAAACATATCACTTAGGAGCTGCCATAAGAAATATGAAGTTCTCTATAAAGTAGTCAGCTGAGAAACGGACAATTTTATTTGAGAAATCAGGCCAGTCAGCACTCAGCACCTCCCTGCTCCTCCTTTCATCCCTACTACCTTACCTTGCAACCCACTTTACCATCAAATATCCACACCTCTTCTTCTTCTACTTGACTATATTATCCTAAATTTAGTCTCCCCCTAGCTACCACTGCATCTTTCTCTTTGTCTTAACAGCTAGACACTTCTAAAGAGTCTATTATTATTCATTTCCCATATACTTTTGAACCCAAAACAATCAGGTTTCAGCCTCCATAATTCCACCAAAACCATTGTTGCTAAGATCATTAATGACTTTCTCTTCAACAGACCCCGTCTCTTGTCATTTGTCATTGAGTTTGATCTCTATAGCATTTGATATTTTGCTCACTCCCTCCTGGAAAGCTCTCTGTTTTAAAGCTGGGCGTGGTGGCTCACATCTGTAGTTCCAGCTACTTGGGAGGCTGAGGTTGGAGGATCCCTGGAGCCTAGGAATTTGAGGCTGCAATGAGCTATGATCAAGATACTGCATTCCAGGCTGGGTAACACAGTGAGACCTTGTCTCAAAAAGAAGAAAAGAAAAGAAACCTTTCTGCTTTTGCCTCTGGCAAATGGGTTCTTTGTAGCTTTCTTCTACTACTCTGGCAGACTGTCTTCCTCTCTAGGATGTTTTTCACTACTTATTTTAAAAGTTTGGTGTTCATACATGCAATACAATATTATTTAGCCTTAAAAAGGAAGGAAACTTCAATACATGCTAGAATGTGGATGAAACTTGAAGACATCGCATTAAGCGAAACCAGACCTGAAAGGACAAATACTGCATGATTCCCCTTACACAAGGTACCTGGAATAGTCAAACTCGTAGAAAATAGAATGGCAGTTGCTGGGGCTTGGAGGAGAAGGAAATGGATACCTGTTTAACAGATACAGAGTTTCAGTTTGCAATAAGAGGGTTCTGGAGATAAAAGGTGGTGATGGTTGTACAACAGTGTACATGTACTTAGTGCCACTGAACTGTATACTTAACCATGGTAAAAATGGTACATTTTATGTTATGTATTTTACCACCACCACAGCAAGATTTTCTAAAAGTTTGGTATTCACCCAATTCTGTTTCAAGGCTCTTTTCCCCTCAACCCACTCAACTCATCCCACCCCCATTCCTGCCCAGCTCTTTCTCCAGGTGGCCATGTCATGGAGAACATTTTTATTTTTTGTTGGCTAGCATCTTTCCCTCTTGAGAAATGACATCGCCCCCACCCCAGTCCCTCACCCCAGTCTTACCCCCACCCTAACCCCAAGGCCTGTCAATCAAGAGGCTCTCCACAGAAGTGTGCCTTTGAGGTAGGCTAATTGGAGAATTTCCCTTGGGAATGAGCACATGATTCAAGGTGAACCAGTCAGAATTCTCCAAGGGACTTTTTCTGAAACCATTGTAAAAGAATCACACTCTTTCCCCCTGAAACTGCTGTCTCGAGTAGCATGTGAGCTATAAGTTGCTGGTAACCATCTTGCTGTCATTGTAAAACAAGCTTCTTCGCAGTCTTTAGTCTATTTAAGAATGAAGCCAACCCAGGGGAGAACAATACCTAACAGACAGGAAAAGACGAGAGAATTCTGATGACATTGAGTTTTGGGGGCTTTTAAAGCCTATGAAACCCCAACAACTATAGAATGACACCTAGAATTTTCAGTTATATCATTCACTTGTGAATAAGATGAAGATTTTTTTAAGTATAGAAATATTGAATGTTTATTAAATATTCACTTTTCAGGTGTGGCTCTCTTAGTTCGTCTCTACATGTGAAATACTGCCAGAACACTTGACTACTCAGAGAATGACGAGACAAATGGAAGGATGGGGGCTCATAAAGAATGAAAATACAGACACGTATGCATCTGAAGTTAAGTCTAAAGTTTTGTTTTAAGTACATATATGCTTGCACTTCCCCTGCAAGTTGCCTACCAAAAATATTGCTTGTAAAATAATAAACAAATATATTAAAAATTTATCATCACTGCAAATCAAAGCAGTACTAGATGTCATTCAAACCTATCAAATTAGCTAGGATTTTGAAAAATAGTAGTACACAGTGTTGGAGTGAACTCATGGAAATCCTCTCACATGCTTCTGGTGGAAATACAAATTGATACAGCCTTTGTGGAGAGCACCCTTCATATCACAATCTGTAAAAGCAGGTGTAATATTTTGTGACCCAGCAATTATACATCTAAGAATGCATCCTTAATGAAATGTTCATAGATATGTAATAGTATTTGGCTTAAAGGATGTGCCTTTATTGTTCATAATAATGAAAAGAATTGTAAACAGGCTCAATTTTCCAAAACAAGGTTAAATAAACTCTAATACAGTCCTAAACACATCCAAAAGCAATGATATAGAAGATAATTTAAGTACTTGGCCTTTGGAAGGAATTAAATTTAATGAAGTAATGATCATATAGCAAAGTCCTCCCGAGTAGCTGGAATTACAGGCATGCACCACCACACCAGACTAAGTTTGTATTTTTAGAAGAGATGGAGTTTCTCCATATTGGATAGGCTGATCTCGAACTCCCAACCTCAGGTGACCTGCCCACCTCGGCCACCCAAAGTACTGGGATTACAGGTGTGAACCACCAAGCCCAGCCTAAAATACTATTTTTATATATCAAAGGTCTAATATCCTTTTCAAAAAACTTGTTTTCAAACAGTAAGAACACACTAAAAAGTACATTTTGGTGACTTGTAGCATTGACTTACAATGGAGAGAAATGGGGCTCCAAGTAGGGTGAAATACATCTTTGTTTTAATTGAGGCTTAAATGAAGTAGGTGTGGAAACATAAATTTAAATCATTTTGGAGACTGAATTGTGGTCCCTCGTTGATTACAATGATTTGTGCTGAAGTTATTTTTTCCTCTGGTTTCAGATAGAGAGTGTCATCGATCTGGCCATCAGAAAAGATAACTGCCGATGGTTTGGGCTGTGTTACCACAGCATCCTACGTGAAGTGAATTCTCAGGGTTATAAAAGTCTGATGGTTAATTAACTTTGCAAAAGATCAAAAAGATACTATGCACACTCATGCAAATAAGTATTTGTTAATATGAAGCAACGTAAAGATGAGCCTGTGAGTATGATTATGATAATAACATCAAATTGTTGTTAGGTTTCATTGCCAGGTTGTTCAATATCCAAGAACAAAACCTGGCTATACAACTAGATACTAGAGAATACCTGAGATACGCAAAAGGAGGCTTACGATTTTGCTCTTCCCTGCCAATCCCACCCCTCCCCTATTATTGGGACACTCCCTAATTACAGGTTTCTTGTTAATTCAGAGTCTAGCCAAGGATCCTTTTCCACTGAGAGCTTCTTGAAAACAGACTTCTTTGTATTTCTAGCATTTAACACATTTTTGGTGCATAGTAACCACTCAATAAAGTTTATTCCATAAATTGATAGGCTTGATTAAGATAATAACAAGGATTAAAAGGAAGAGAGGCACAATGCTTCTGGCAAAGATCACTCTACGATTTCTTTTTCCTTTTTTCTTTCTTTTTTTTGAGACAGAGTCTCACTCTGTTGCCAAGTTGGAATTCAGTGGCACCATCTAGGCTCACTGCAACCTCCACCTCCCAGGTTCAAGAGATTCTCCTGCCTTACCCTCTCAAGTAGCTTGGGACTACCGGCAGGTGCCACCACACCCAGCTAGTTTTTTTGTATTTTTAGTAGCGATGGGGTTTCACCATGTTGTCCAGGATGGTCTCGATCTCTTGACCTCATGATCCATCCACCTTGGCCTCCCAAAGTGTTGAGATTACAGGCGTGAGCCACTGCGCCTGGCCAGATGACTCTACAGTTTCTTATCCAAGCAGGGCACAGGCCAGCCTAATTGTTCCATAATCATATTTAATAGAAATGTTAGAAACAAATATTCAGGGGTTTTTATTGAATAACAAATGTGCTTTAATCATTGTAAATAAAGGCCAAAGAAGTTTAAAATTGTTGTGGTCCAATTAGAACAAATTTCCCATAGTATGTGTGCATTTAATTTTAGACAAGAATCTAAGAAATGTTTAGGATTGTGGCTAAAAATGGAAATTGTGATAATACGGTTTATATTTCACAAATTAGACATTAAAGCACAGCACTTTTAAATATATTTGGATAGCTTTTCAAGGAAAGCAATGACTCATTTATCTTGTCTTTTACAATTTGTCTCCAGTCCAAAAAAATACATATAATCATTTTGTTCAAAGCAGTGATGATAAGTTGACATAGTAAAGCTCACATGACAAATATCCTGTGATCAAAGTGGTCCAGTGAAAGCAATGTGATTTCTAGAATGCCACAAAACCCTCAAAAACCCTTTTTTGACCTACTTAAATAGGAAGTTTTGTTTGCTAAGAATGTAGAGCCCAAGAAGCCATTCAGCTTGAATCCAGGGCTTTGAGTAAATTCTCATCTGGCAGTTACATTTTTACACTCATAACCAGAGGCCTATGTAAGGAGTTTTAACTCACAAGTTAAATAAGTGGAAAAAGTGATGTTCTTTCTAAGCAGCCATCAGCAGTGAATGTATTTCTATTAGGCCGTCCTGGAAGGGGAACAAATTCTGTTCTCTTACCTTATACATTGCCTGGTATTGGGTTTGGGGACAGAGGCCCCTCAGCCAACACTGCGAGGGCTCTTGGGAGTAATCAGTTATACAAACTGCAACACAGGGAAGGTTGTGTAAATATGTATAGGAGGCCGTTGTTTTGAACTGAGCTCCTGCACTGGGCCCCCACATGCCAAACCAAAATGAAGTCACTCCTGTTAAGTGACATATAATGAAGCTGAAACTTTAAGGAAGCAGGTAAAACCCCACACAGGCTAGTTTTTCCTGAAAACAGGAAATCCACAGCAATCATGTAGAAAGAGCCCAGTCAACCTGGGCAGGAATGGTAAGGAAACCCCCTTTGCTTTAACAACTACAAGGAAAATAACCTGAAGTAACAATGTTAACCAATCTGGTAGTTGTTTTTTTTAAAACTTCATTTCTTGTTCCCACCTTACAAAAACGAACTGTTCTGTTATAATAGTAGAACCAAAACTAAATATATAATTATACAAGCCAGCCCATCTCACTCTAGTAACTTAAACACCTCCAGGACACTTAGAGAACATATCTGTTTTACAGAACAAGATGCTGCCGATTCATGAATCACAAATAAAAACGTATCAGATCTAAAAACTAAATTTGCTGAAATTTTGTTTTTTAACAGACAATGTTTATTTTGCTTCCTTTTTTCCTTTGGCTTAAATTAACAACTAACCTTTTCCTGTAACTGTGAAAGTTGCTTATTTGCTCTCTAAAGAAATTGTATAGTCTTTCTACCCCACTCCCACCCGCAAAGGATAAATAGTAAAGTATTTAAGCATTGAGGTTTCGTTATGTTTCCTGAGGATGTGGACAAGCTAAGGAGATTTCATACATCAGATAAGATGTCTGCTGGTGGTTTGATTTCCACAATTTAGGGCAAGTTTAGCAGTTTTAAGGCATTGGTTTAAGATAGGTTTATTCTTTGACTCCAAAACCTATGACTTTCCTTCCTCAACAACTCTACAGCTTTCTATAGTTCCCTCTCTTGAAAAGCACGCAAGATCAGCGGCTCAGAGTTAAGTAGGGCAATGGCTTCATCATAGAGCAAGGAAGCCTCTTACTTCCCAAGCAGTCACAATAGGGTCAGGTGGTAGTGGTGACATGGTTCTGCCCCCAGCTAAGTTCTAAAGGTGAAGAAGAAGCAAGAAATGAGGTTTGATTCTCAAAAGTATGGAGGAAGGGAACATGGCAAAGACACAAATTCCTTTATTTTTTACTGAAAATGGGTTCAAGTGCCATAGAGAATGAATGTCTGAGTTAAAACAATGCTAAATTTATTGATCTACCCTTCATAATAGAAGAACCAAAGTTAAGTATATAATTATACAAGCCAGCCCATATCAGTACAGTAACTTCAATATCTCCAGGACACTCAGAGCACAAATTGAATTTAGCATATATTTTTAAAATTAACTTGACTAAGCTTTTAAATAAATTAATAATTATTCCCTTCAAGGTGAATTTTAAGAAAAAGAAAAAAAAATAAAAAGAAAAAAATTTGTAATTACGGTAACAAACACAGTGATTCTCAATTGGGATAGTGAGACTGGAAACAGAGGATTGTAGAAGAATCTCCCTATGTTTTAACCAAAGGGTGCATTTTTAATGATTTGGGTACTGATGTACTTTTAACTTGATCATATGTTCCCAAATAAATTATTGAAATTAAGTGCTTAACACAGCCTGTATAATTAGCCTCCTTTTACAGGCGAGGAATCAAGGCTTAAGCAACTTACCCCAGATCACAAACCTGGGAGTGCAGTGGGAACACAAAATGACTTTTGCAACTCTCCCTAAATTTTGGCCTCAAAATTTCTCAATGGGATCTGCTTCAAGGTAAATAATATTAATTTAGAAAAATGGAACAAAACAAAGAAGATTAAAAGAACAACATTTTAAATCTAAGAGTTCTGGCCTTCACATATGCAGTGTTTGTTCAGGGTAGAGGTGAAAAATCATTTTTTGAATGTATTGGCAACATTTTAAAATTTAAGAGTACACATTAAAATTTTATATTTCTGTCTTCCTTTGAAGAGCCAAAAGATGTAGGAATACTGGGCCCCTGTGAATGCTGGGTCTGGGTGGTGGCTCCCCTCAGGAGACCACCTATGCACTTTCTTCTCTGCATAGTTCCCATTAGCTGCTACAATTCATACAGTTCACCAACCTGGCTCTGGAGACATTTGAGTTTGCAGCTCCTGTATTGAACTGATCTAAAAACTGAGCTATATCATTTTGCCCCAATTTTTAGACTAGTGTGGTAACGACCAGTTAATTGTTAGACTAGCTTTTGTTTGCATTTCCAATGTGCCCCAACACTTACATCCAGAAGAAATGTCTTTTCCACATATCAGTGTCTCTTGAAAATGTTTGGTACATTCAGCAGTGCAGTACATAGAAGCGTGTGGTTCCAGAAAGTTTTTATACCAAAGCCGAGCTGTTGTTTTGTTAATCCTTGTGATTTGAAATCTTTCTCTGATGCCGTTTTTATAAAAATGAAGTTTCCTTGGTTGGCAGTTCTTAATCGCTGCTTTGCAATATATAGAGATATTCATACCCATCTTAAAAATTGTGGCTGGTTCTACCCAGATGTGTCCAGAGCAGTTTATATTTGTAATTCCTAGAAATAAATAGAAAAATAATAAATTACATGTAAAACATTAAAACAAGAGATTCAGAAGAGTATGTTATTGCATTTTAAATTTATTATTTCTATTAATTAAATGATCCTATTGAAAATAGTTTTAGGACTAGATGTATCTTTTCATAAACTAGCCTATTACAGGGTGTTTCTGTTAGGCCTTTTTTTTTTTTTTTTTTTTTTTTGAGAAGGGGTGCGACAGGCTGGAGTGCAGTGGCACAATCCTGGTTCACTGCAACCTCCGCCTCCCTGGTTCAAGGTATTCTCCCACCTCAGCCTCCCAAGTAGCTGGGACTACAGGTGTGCGCCACCATGCCCAGCCAATTTTTGTATTTTTAGTAGAGACGGGGTTTCACCATGTTGGCCAGGCTGATCTCCAACTCCTGACAGGTGATCCACCCGTCTTGGCCTCCCAAAGTTCTGATATTACAGGTGTGAGCCACCGAGCCCAGCTTCTGTTCTGCTTTTATTGATGTTCAGCAGCATGACATAAGACTGGAGTCAGCCTGGAAGCTTCTCTGAGTGTCTAAAGAACAAATATAATTAGCTCTCCTACTTTAGAGAACTGAGCGCTTATGAAGCTACTGTATTTTTCCAAGGTAAGATTAGAAATAACACTGGGCACTGTAAAATCTGAACCACATTCTCTAGTTACTCAACCAATCTTTTGGTTTTTATTTTTAGATCAAGGCTACTTTTTTTTTTTAAGCAAAGTATGAATATAATGCATAAAACAATACTCTTGCCAATGGCTCATATAGTTACTATGTGCCAAGCAATAAGTGGTTTGCGAAATAGAATTACATTCAAATGTTTGACAGGTTATTATATAGTGGTCATAGCGGTTTAAAGATAGAACATGCAAATTCAAACTAATAAGCTCCTTTGTGGAAATACTCACATGTGAGTGAGAGGGCTGTCCATAAGGGAAATTTGAGAAAGAAATCCTTCATTTGGAAGGAGATTGGACTCATTTTATTTCTTTCTGTATAATTTTTATGCACACATTTTTCCAGTCTAATAATATTTGTATTCTTCAGAAATTCCAACATAACACTGTGAAAATAATAATCACTCAATATGCTGTTTGTTGAATGAAAGATAGTAATCGCTGCATAAAACACCGTACCTCCATGACACCAACTGAAGAATATGTAGAGAGCTATCGCCACATCCCATTGAATAGTGACCTGATTCATGTCTGGAAGCAGGAAAAGATTGTTTCCTTCTGGAAAAAATATGAAAAATGTTTCAATTGTAATACTTTAGTAAAATAATGAAAAGCATTACTTTTTCCCCTAAGAGTTATTGTATTTGATGGGAACCTTTGAGAAGGAAGGAAGAGAGGGAGGGAGGGAGGCAGGGAGGGGAACAAAGAAATGTTACTGGTATTTTTAGGAGATATAATAAGAGATGGAGAAGTAAAGCAAACAAATGGAATTTTATACTCTTCAAAAGTCACTATGAATTATCTCAGTAGGGCATTTGACCCATTAAAATACAATTCCTTCTAATCTAGCCTTTCTCATCAGATACCTCCTCCTCTGAGCTAACTTCTTTTTTTATTCTTTTAAATTTTTTTAGAGACAAGGACTTCCTCTGTAGCCCAGGCTGGAGTGCAGTGGCATCATCATAATTCACTATAACCTCAAACTCCTGGGCTCAAGTGCTCCTTCCAACTCAGCCTTCCAAAGCGCTGTTGCAGGCGTGAACCACGGTTCCTGGGCTGAGCTAACTTCTGGTGATGAATTATTCTCCCTGCCAAAGTTATGTACCTCTCACATTCCAGAAATACCAGTCTTTGATGAGCGAAATTTGGGAAGAGCCAAAAATTTCAGAACTCCCAGAGAAAATGGATTCAAAATGAAGAAAAGTGAAGTGAGATTAAGCAATATGTGCTATCACCAGTTAGACTGCAAAAAGCCTTCTGTCTGGGCTGGGCGTGGTGGCTTATGTCTGTAATATCAGCGCTTTGGGAGGCAGAGACGGGCAGATCACCTGAGCCTAGGAGTTCAAGACCAGGCTGGGCAACATGGTAAAACCCTGTCTCTACTAAAAATACAAAAATTAGCTCAGAGTGGTGGTGTGTGCCTGTCATCCCAGCTACTCAGAAGGTGAAATTTGCAGTGAACAATGATCACGCCATTGCACTCCAGCCTGGGCGACAGAGTGAGAGAGGAACAAGCGTTTCATCTGTACAACAAATGAGGAAAAAGCATTTCATCTGTAGAGAACTCCAAGTAAACACATTATAGAAATTCCTAATAATACTGTTTTTAGTTTACAACTAGAGTTACATTATTCAATTAACCAGTTACATTAATTTACTCATTTACTCAACAATCAACATTATTCAGTTATTTTATCTGTTTAATAATACCTGAGCTTTTTCTATAAAACAACAAGAGAACGCAATGCATGGCTCATCAAATTGCATAAAATATCTAGTAACATTTAAAAAAACTGGGGTCCCCCGGGCTCAGAAATATAGGGATCCCTTTCATAATTTGTTAGCAATAGTAATTATTCTCTTCATAAGAAGCAACATAAGCCCTAAAAATGTTCCTAGCTAGAAGTTAACTGATAGAAATATGCAATAATTATTATTTAAAGTGATATGGTGCCAAACAATAGTATACATTCCCTTTTCATCCGTAACCACTGCAGGGAGTATCATGAGAACCTGCAAGAGAAAACAACTTGGCCCGTGTATTTCCAAAAGAAAATATAGCTGTCTTTAAGTATTTGGATGATCACTGCCTATTTACCTTTCAACCTGTTTGAAGCACATAATTCCACTTCAGAGCCAGGGTGCTACCCTTGTTGGCTGTGTCATGTCTTCTTTCCACACTGCCTGCCTGTCAGTGATCGCTTCAGGTTTTCAGCTCTGAGATCAATGGAAATGTCAGCAGAACCCTGACCTACATTTCAGATTCTTGAAGAGAAACTCAAACTGTCTGATTCGAAATGACTGGCTTTCATGTCACTATTTGGGAAAACCCAGATTACTGAAAGTGAACTGTATTGTCAGTACTTTTTTTTTACAGCTTAATTTAAAATGGTCTCATCCAAGAGGCAGAACACTTATACATGTTTTCTTACAAATGTCTAACATTTTGACACCAAAAATATGATGCTTAGTTTTAATTTACAACCAGCATTGTTAATACTTACACACCTGATTTTTTTTTCCAGTTTGTTGAAGTATAACTGATGAATAAAATTCTACAATTTGATGGTATACAATGTGTCTATTTGATACACACGTATTTTGTGAAATTGTTATACAATCAAGTTAGTTAACACATCTCTCACCTTATTTTATTTTATTTTACATATTTTATTTTATTTTATTTTCAGACGGAGTTTTGCTCTGTTGCCCAGGCTGAAGTCCAGTGGCTCAATCTCTGCTCACTGCAACCTCTGCGTCCTGGGTTCAAGCGATTCTCCAACCTCGGTCTCCTGAGCAGCTGAGACTAAAGGCATGTGCCACCACCCCACCTAATTCTTTTTGTATTTAGTAAAGACAGGGTTTCACCATGTTGGTCAGGCTGGTCTCAAACTCCTGACCTTAGGTGATCTACGTGCCTCAGCCTCCCAAAGTGCTAGGATTACAAGTGAGAGACACCGCGCTGGTCTGGTGGGTTGTTTTTTTTTTTGTGTTTTTAGTGAAGATGGGGTTTCACCATATTGGCCAGGCTGGTCTTAAACTCCTGACCTCAAGTGATCTGCTCACCGTGGCCTCCCAAAGTGCTAGGATTACAGGTGTGAGCCACTGTGCTTGGCCCAAGAGCTGATTTTTAAATCAGATTATCTGGGCATGCTTGTTTTCATTTCTGCTATTGAGTCATTTGAGTTCCTTAGGTATTTTGGATATTAACCCTTTAACACATAAATGATTTGCAAATATATTTTCCCTTCTGTAGACTCTCTTTTTATTTTCTTGGTTGTTTCCTTTGCTGAGCTTTTTAGCTTGATACAGTCTCACTTATTTATTTTTGCTTTTGTTGCTTGTGTTTCTGGTGTCATATCTAAAAATATTTTTTACCCAGACCAACGTCAAAGAGGTTTTTCCCTATGTTTTATTCTAGGAGTGTATTAGACCGCTCTTGTGTTACCATACAGGAGTAACTGGGACTTGGTAATTTATAAAGAAAAGAGGCTTAATTGGCTCAAAGTTCTGCAGGCTGTACCAGCATGGCACCAACACCTGCTTGGTGTCGAAAGCCTCTGGAAGGTTACAATTATGGCAGAAGGCAAAGCAGGAGCAGGTGCATCACATGGAGAGAGCAGAAGCAAGAGGACCAGGGAGAGGTGCCACACACTTTTAAACAACCAGATCTCACCTGGAGTCTGAATGAGAACTCACTATCACCAAGAGGATGCACTAAGCCATTCATGCAGGATCCACCTCCATGATCCAAACACCTCCCACTAGGCCCAACCTCCAGCCCTGGGGATTACCTTTCTCCTCCTTCTCCTTCTGCTTCTGCTTTTTTTGAGACAGGGTCTTGCTCTGTGGCCCAGGTTGGAGTGCAGAGGCATGATCTTGGCTCAATGCAACCTCCACCTCCTGGGTTCAAGTGGTCTTCCTGCCTCTGCCTCCTGAGTAGCTGGGACTATAGGCACCCGCCACCAGGTTCAGTTAATTTTTGTATTTTTAGTAGAGACGGGGTTTTGCCACATTGGCCAGGCTTGTCTCAAACTCCTGACCTCAAGTGATCTGTCACTTTGACCTCCCAAAGTGCTGAGATTACAAGTGTGAGTCACTGGCCACATATATGTTTTGACTCATCCAAAGGATGATACCTGCAGCAGCTGCTCTGTTCTTCTCAGTGTCAAGCAACTCATGGCTTATTCAACTTCGTGGGAGAAAAGAGTGCTACGGATTGAACCATCGCCACTTCCCGTGAGGTGTGCATTAAAAGCCAATGTTGACTTATTTCCTAAGAGCTTATTAGAGACTTTACAACGCCAGAAAGCGAAGGTCAATTCAAAACCTTCAACATACAGCTCTAGCTCTTGGAGACTGCATGCACACCTTTAAGGAGGTCAGTTTCCAGAGTCTCAGCTTTCATATGTGCTCTTTCCTAAATTTGATTTCTCTGAAAATGAGCCTGGGTTCACAGTAGTCATTCTCTAGATTATAGTGGATAGTATCCCTCCACCTCAAATCTCATATAGTGCATTGCCTTGGGTGGAAATAGCTCCAGAATATCAAGCAAATGGGTAAATGGAAATACTGGTCTTAGGGAGGCCTCCTTGGATAATTAATCAAGGCATTTTAAACATACAAGACTTTAAGCTTTTTCCTGTCTCATATATATATATGAAGCATATATAATACATGAAGCATATATAATACATGAAGCATATATATATATATATATATATATGTATATGAAGCTTACTAAAATACTTCTATCTCAGCCCATGCTGGGATACTCTGAATTTTAGACAATTCAGGGATATTTGGGCCCCTTTTGAAAGTCTGAATCTAGGATATCAGAAGCAATATGGGAGACTTATGGTTATCCTCTTGAACATAAATGGGATTTTTGATGAACCATTACTTTTTTTAGACCTTAGATAAAGTTTGCATGTAAAATTTTACTTGATTTCTTTCAGATTTGGTTTACTTTATTTATTTATTTATTTTTGTCTTCTTTTTGTTGTTGTTTTTTTTCCTTTTTGTGGAGAACAAGGTCTCACTATATTGCCCAGGCTGGTCTCAAACTCCTGGGCTCAAGCTGACCTCCCATCTCTGCCTCCTAAGAGCTGGGATTACAGGCATGAGCCACAGCATCCAGCCTTGGCTTACTTTATTCAATAAGATAGTAAAAGGCTATTTTATCTAATATTATCATGGCATATCTGTTTCTATTACAGCCTCATCTCAGTTTTTTCATCTTTTAAATGTTCAATCACTTTATTATATTTAAAAGAAAGCAAGTTTATTTAGAGCTTTAAAAATATTTTGCATTTTAATTGTAAAACATGCAGGGGAGCACATAATTTTAAAATCTTCTTTTAAGAAGACTCAAGGAAAACATTTGAAAGACTAATGCACTGAAGCTCAACTTTATAAACCAAACCAAAACAAATACTATGTGTAGAAAAAAATACACCAAACTATCAATAGTGGCTTTCTTTGGATTATGGAATTATGATTTTGTTTTCTTCCTTTTGCTTTCCTATAACTTCCTATTTTTTAGGATGAGTGTATTATATGTAATAATTTGTAAATATTTTTTTAAATACTAAACACATTAAAGACAGGAAAACTTTTAAGGAAGGGAACATAAATGGAGTATTCTTCGTAGTCACATCTAGAATATGAGACAGCTGCAGGAAATTATTGACTGGCCTACTTATGTACAGATTTTACTCAGGCAAATTCAAGCATGAGTGAAAGGGAAGAGAAAAATTTTATCTCATTAACTTCCCCTTCCCTCTTCTGTCTGCTTCAAAATAGACCTAGATCCTCAGTGACTCTAAGAAAAAAGGCCCATATCAGAAATGCAATAACAATAATTATTAACAACGACACATTATTATTATTTATTATTATTATTGTTAGTTGGGATAAAAAGTTTGTGTCAGTTGCTATAAACAATAGCTGATGATAAGGTAAATAAGATTTTATTGGTTCGCTCACTGTTGCCAATCGATAAGGAAAAACTTATGAAGTCTTTCATAATGTCCTAAATACTTTTAGAGAGTTTTTCAGGTAAAAATTAGAGCTTCGCTAGCTGGTCATGGTGGCACACACCTGCAGTCTTAGCTACTCAGGGGGCTGAGGCAGGAGGATTGCTTGAACCCAGGAGACAGAGGCTGCAGTGAGCTATGATCATGGCACTGCACTCCAGCCTAGGTGACAGAGCAAGACTCCTTGCTGGATGTGACTCCTTAGGATGAGGCTAAAGCAGTTGGATATAAACTAAAGATTCCCAAGCAATTGGATATAAACTAAAGATGGAAAAGGAAAGAAGTTCTAGGATTGAGCCCAGAAAATCCCTATGTAAAGCTATCAGGAAAAAATAAACCAAGGCATTTCTTTTTCTTTTTAGCGGAGCAACTCAGACTCCAGGCAATTTTTCGACTAACTATCCTTAAGAGGGTTACCAGAAAATTTGTGTATTTATTATTGGAAAAGTAGTTAACTGTATATATCATAAAACTATAGAATCCTGAGGCTAAAATAGACCTTAACCTAAAGGATGATAAAATTCAACCTGTTGGTTCTTCAACAACAAATACTTTGAACTTAAAAAAACTACCTTACTGGGTCATTCACCCAATTTCAATTTACGGATTTAATTTCAGCCAAATTATAGGAAATTATTGAAAAATAAACCTCCAGTATACGTAGGTAGCTTAGAGTACATATGGACTTGTTCAGACAAAGGAGGATCTAGTTCTAACTCAGGGATTTGGGCAGGGGGACCACTTTAATTCCACAAGTGTTTATTGAGTGTCTATTACATGTAAGGCACTTGATAGGGTACTTCGAGAAATACAAATGTGAATAAGACCCTGTCCTGTTCTTCAGAAAGACTAAAACAGGAAAAAGGGGGGAATAACATAAGCAAAATGTGATTAAGCGCCATGGAGAAGCAGAGAGGTCATGGAGGTTCAAGCTGAAGTGTGAAATAACTGCAACTAGGGACTCAAAAAAGCCCCTAGGTGTCACCCTCCGCTTCCTGACTTGTCTTCTTTCTCACTGCAAATCTGCTTTCCCCACGGGGTGGCCAACAAGGCTAGCAACTCCCAGTTCTCACATTTCAGACTTTCTGCCACAAGAAAGAGTGCCCAATGCTCCCCCCACCAAGTACAAAATGCTGAAAAGAGCTCCCAGGGGCCCAGTCAGCCTCTGGACTAACTGATGACAGGAAAGAGGATCTGACCGTGTAAGAAGAACCTGGTAAATCGTGTGGGAACCCTGTGATTGGTGGTGGGCTGGGGTGGGAGGTAGATCAGTTAGTTAATTAGCAGCACAATGTTCTCTAACGAAAGGCCCCAACTGGTGGTTTAACACAGCTGTCATTCATTTTCAAGCATTTGCCGGTTGGCTAGGGTGGCTCTGCCAGGCAGTGATGACTAGAGTGGCTGTATTCCACTGTAGTGGAATAGTGGGTTTTCCAGACCCAAGTCACACTCCTCCTGGGCCCATAAGCTAAGCAGAAAACACCAGAGCCTCTGAAGTTTAGGCTCAGAGTCATCCTAACACTGCTGTTCCCGCCTGACCAAGCCATTGGAAAAAGAAAGTCACATGACTGGACACTAAGTCAAAGGGGAAGAAATACCTTCTGCACACAGTGAAGCTACTGTCAGAGTGGGAGGCAGGGAAGTGCGTAGGGTGGCACCAATCATTTAATCTACCACATGGGGTTAATGTGAGAAACAGTTCTCAGAAGATAGGATGTTGGGTAAACAAGGCAATAGGTAACCACTATAGTATCATTACATTGGATAGAAACACAGCAAAACGAAGTAGCTAGTAGATTTTGTCAGTTCCAAAATGCTAGAGAGCAATACGAAGGGAACTCGTTAGCCACTACAATTTTTTTTTTTTTTTTTTTGAGACAGAGTCTACTCTGCTGCCAGCCTGCACTGCAGTGCCACGATCTTGGCTCACTGCAACCTCTGCCTCCTGGTTTCAAGCTGTTATCCTGCCTCAACCTCCCGAGTAGCTGGGATTACAGGCACCTGCCACCATGCCCGGTTAAGTTTTGTAGTTTTTAGTAGAGACGGGGTTTCACCATGTTGGCCAGGCTGGTCTCAAACTCCCAACCTCAGGTGATCCACCATGTTGGCCTCCCACAGTGTTGGGATTACAGGTGTGAGCCACCATGCCCAGCCCCTTACAATGTTTTGAGGACTCTACTAGTAATTTTACGTCTATCATCTCAAAGAAGCAATAAAGACGGTTATTCACTTGAAACAATACCATCTTTGCTCTTAAACTCTCTTAATTAGGTTTTAAAGAAAGTGTCTTTCCAGATGCCATTTAGTACCATTTTTTCTACTTGCTACTTCTTTTAACTTTTAATATTCATTCATTCATTTATTTTGTATAGACAGGGTCTGACTATTGTTGCCTAGGCTGATCTTGAACTCCCAGCCTCAAGTGATCCTCCTGCCTCCCAAAACACTGGGATTGCAAGCATGAGCCACCACACCCAGCCCCACTGCTGCTTCTTTTAAGAGTAGTTTGGCTGAGTGCAATGGCGCACACCTGTAATCTTAGCACTTTGGAAGGTCGGGGCAGGCAGATCGCTTGAGGTCAAGAGTTGGAGACCAACCTGGCTACCACGGTGAAATCTCATCTCTACTAAAACTACAAAAATTAGCCGGGTGGGCTGGGCATGGTGGCTCACGCCTGTAATCCAAGCACTTTGGAGGCCAAGGCGGGAGGATCACCTGAGGTTGGGAAGTTCAAGACCAGCCTGAGCAACATGGTGAAACCCTGTCTTTAAAAAGAAAAAAAAAGAAAAAAATTAGCTGGGTGTGGTGACAGGTGCCTGTAATCCCAGCTCCTTAGTAGGCGGAGGCAAGAGAATTGCTTGAACCTGGGAGGCGGAAGTTGCAGTGAACAAAGATGGTACCACTGCACTCCAGCCTGGGCGACAAGAGTGAGACTCCATCTCAAAAAAAAAAAAAAAGAGAGTGGTTCATGACTTACTTTCTAATCTTTTTATCGGTGAAACAAAGTCATCAGCATGGAACAAGGGGAAAGAGGAATATTTTGGAGCCAAGGACACTTGAGTTTAAAACCCTAGCTTGGCCATGTTGAATGACCAAAACAGAGAATTTTCTTCTCTGTAAAATGTGGGTAATAATATATACCAAATAGGGTTTAAAGATTAAATGAGAGTATGTCTACAAAATGTACATCCCAATATCTGGCACATAGCTATTGAATAAGTGTTCGTTTCTTGGTTATGGGAATAACAAATGAAATAAGGCAAAGTTGCTACATTGAGTTCAATGCTTTGCTCTCTTTTCATGACTAAAAATCTAATACCATTTCAGAATGGAAAAATTCCCAAATGAAATGGAGCACAAGTTTACAGAAAAAAATAAACGCAAAATGTTGAATGAAGTCTTTAGCACTATACTTAAGATCAAATCAAAATTCTATTGAAAAAAAAAAGCAGTTGTTCCTTTTGTCATTTCTCTCAGGAGAAGTTTCTGGCAATCTAACCATGAAAGTTTCCATTTCATGTTTCAGTAGTAGAGCTCGCGGGTAGTTTATTGCTAAGTTCTGTTAAAGTATCTTTTCTTTATTTTATTTTATTTTATTTTTATTTTTTTTAAAGACAGTGTTAGGCCGGGCGCGGTGGCTCACGCCTGTAATCCCAGCACTTTGGGAGGCCGAGGCAGGTGAATCACGAGGTCAAGAGATCAAGACCATCCTGGTCAACATGGTGAAACCCCGTCTCTGCTAAAACTACAAAAAATTAGCTGGGCATGGTGGTGCGTGCCTGTAATCCCAGCTTCTCAGGAGGCTGAGGCAGGAGAATTGCCTGAACCCAGGAGGCGGAGGTTGCGGTGAGCCAAGATCGCGCCATTGCACTCCAGCCTGGGTAACAAGAGCGAAACTCCGTCTCAAAAAATAAAAAAATAAAAAAATAAAGACAGTGTTTCACCATGTTGGTCAGGCTGGTCTTGAACTCCCAACCTCAGGTGATCCGCCCGCCTTGGCCTCCAAAGTGCTTGGATTACAGGCGTGAGCCACCACACCCAGCCTCTGTTAAAGTATCTTAAACACTGTAGCACTTAACAAATTTTTCACCATTCAGTTTCTAGGCATGACTTAATTTTTTTAACTCGGGAGAGATATTAACTTTATAGTCAGTAGCTAACCATTTTTCTGTCAGAATGTTTCTTCTGTTTGCCTCATTTTCCTCACATTATTGGGAAATCAAAGTGTGATATTTGTAAACATGTTGTAAAAAGGCAATTTATAGTTCAAATTAGGTTGTCAAATTACTACTTTCTCACTTGACAAAGTAAATCTCAGATGATACATTTAATCAATTGGTCTTCATTAGACATCTTTATATTTTATACATTTTCAACTTGGTTATTGATTATAAGAGCCTTGTATTTCACTGAAATTTCCTTCTTTTTTTTTTAGGCAGAGTCTCACTGTTTTTCACGCTGAAGTGCAGTGGCAAGATCTCAACTGACTGCAGGCTCCACCTCCCAGATTCAAGCGATTCTCCTGCCTCAGGCTCCTGAATAGCTGGGATTACAGGTACACGCTACCACACCTAGCTAATTTCTGTATTTTTAGTAGACAGGGTTTCACTATGTTGGCCAGGCTGGTTTCGAACTCCTGACCTCAAGCGATCCACGCACCTAGGCCACCCAAAGTGCTGGAATTACAGGTGTGAGCCACTGTGCCTGGCTGGAAAAAGTATTTTCGTCATTCTAATGTGCTTGTATTTGCAACAGTCCAAAGTTTTTTTAATTGTAACTGACAGAAATTCAACTCAAACTCACTAAATTAAAAAATGGGAACTAATGGAAGAAGAATGAGGCCTGTTATGGAACTGATGGAATTCCTGTGGGAGCAGGTAACTTCAGGTATGTCCAGGAGAGAAACTTCAAACTTGACACAACCAGGACTCTCTTGTTTGCACCATCCATCTCTCATCTGCTGAAGTCTTCTGGGCCTCATTGTCTCCTCTAGGTGTTTGTCCCATGGAAGCCCAGGATTACAACCTTCTCACTTAAGAAAGAGTCCCTTCAGGCCAGGCGTGGTGGCTCACGCCAGTAATCCAAGCACTTTGGAGGCCAAGGTGGGCGATCACCTGAGGACAGGAGTTCAAGACCAGCCTGACCAATATGGTGAAACCCCGTCTTAAAAAAAAAAAAAAAAAAAAAGAAAGAGTTCCTTCCTAAAATAAATAAATAAAAGGAGACAGGCCTAGCCTCCCAGTCTACATCTTTCTCTGTGCTGGATGCTTCTTGCCCTTAAACATTGGACTCCAAGTTCTTCAGCTTGGGGAGTTGGAATGGCTCTCCTTGTTTCTCAGCTTGCAGACTGCCTATTACGGGATCTTGTGTTTGTAGGAGGAACTGGGGCACAGAGGTTAAGTAACTCTGTTAAGGGATCAGTAACTGGAAGAGCCAGATTCAAACTCACACAGTCTAATTCAGGTCTATATTCTCAACCTTCAAGCTGACAGCCTTAAATTGCATAATGACAAGTAAGTATGGGCAAAAGCTGACTTAATTTCTTCAGCAAGCGTCAGGGAGCGCAGCAATCATTGGATAATTCCCTGTAAAGTTAATGGAAGACCTGGGACACATCTTAACTCGACAGAGCTTTCTGAGAAGCACACGGCAAGAAACAACATTCTTGTGTCCAATGACAGATTGTATTGAAATAGACAGAAGGGACCCATAAACAGGTGGCACTGTGAGCACAGGTCATGCCCTGGAGACTTGCTTATTAGGAGACTCTTAAAAAACATCCACACACACCAAACAGGCAACAAATAATCCTCAACAATCTACCTGTTCTGAAGGGTCTTCAAAGGCCTACAAAGCTACAAAGAAGATCTTAAGTTTGCTACAGTGCAAGTTACCATAAAAAGGCGGAGTCTAGTAAGAGTGCCTTAGACTTATTTCTCAAGAATTTCAGCAAATTTTGCCCCATGTAGGGAAGTCCTTCCCTAGAGCAACATTTGCAACTGCTCTTAAATTCAGTGTTTACTCCTCGTGTATATAAAAATACATTGTTTTCATATTAAAATTTTCACCAGAGATTTGGGCAATTCTGAAGTACTTTTAGGAAGTATGTCTGAATTCAAAACTTCGTTTTTTTTTTTTTTTTAAGTTCTGGGGATATGTGGTGGCGATGATTGAATATCAATGTGAATGTATTTAATGCCACTGAACTGTACACAGATAATGGTTAAAATGGCAAATTTTGGCACATATATTTTACGAATTAAAAAACCCAGTTTTTACAATGAAAAAAAAATCTCAGAGAAGGACTCTGAATATTCTGTCTTGGGGTCTGTACTCACCCTTTTGAATAATTCCTTTCCCTAGAGAGATGAAGTTCTATGACTGTCCAGAACAAGATCATGTGCCTATCCCTGTGGACTGGGGTGGAGTGATGTACTATAATCAGCATCCAAGCACAACTACATAGAAAGGGGGAAAAGCAGTTTCCTGAAGGAGAAGAGTAGCTGCTGGCAGATAAAGGTGAAGTTGGGGGAGGTATTCTGCATTGATAAATGTCTCCAGTCTTAGATTTACTTGTCTGGACATGTTGAACACCTTGCTTTCAGTCTTCCCTGGACATGTCTGAAGATCTGGTAGGATTCCTATCTTTGGATCTGATTACATGAAATACTTTGGAGTTTACTTGCAAAAACTTCAATCCAAGGGAAGAGAATGCCATGACACAGAAGCATGCCTTAAAGATAATGGACCAGGATAAAAGGCGTAAGGGTTATTCTATCCATCTGTCTTATCACTCATATTATTTATTGGGCCAGATTCAGGCCTGAGTCCTAGAGTGTCTGTCTGTCTGCCTATCATTCATTATTTGTTGGACCAGATTCAGGCCTGAGTCCTACAGTGAAGGGGGTTCAATAAAAATGTGAGAAAATAGAAAAGGCTGTTTCACAGTGATCTCTGTGAGACACTAAAGGGCAAGAGGTCAGCAGCATTCATGACAACAGTTTCTGTGGTAACCTGACACCACACCCCAGTGTAAATATCTGCACCCTCAACATCAGGTACCAGCAGCATCAGCATAGACATTGAAGGCACTGTGATGGCGGCAAAGACTTTGCAAGTCCACAAAATTATCACTTTTGACATTACATGCACACGAGACATGATCACATGAAGCCACAGTAGGAGAGAAATGGACTGGGCTCAGCTGAGCAGCTCTTTTGGCCTGCACAATGTTGACTGGGGCTGCAGTCATCTGTTACTCAAATGATCTGGAATATTCAAGATGGCTCATTCAAATGCCTGGCAGTTGATGCTGGCGGGCATTGGGAACTCAGCTAAGGCTGTTGACCGGAGTGCCTGTTTTTCTCCGCATGGCTTCTCTGTGCCTTGGGCTACTCACAGCATGTTGGTTGGTTTCCAAAAGCAAGTATCCCAAAAGCAGAGAAATTGGAAGCTGCAGATATGTGAAGCCCAACCTTAGAAACTACACAATGTGACTTCTGCCACATTCCATTGATTGAAACCAATCACAGAGCTAGCCCAGATTCAATATGGGAATGGTTTCCACAAGAATATGCAAATATTGATTGGGAGGCATGGTTCATTAGGGCCCATTTTGTAAACCAGCCACCACGGCCGGAGAATGAGTTTTGTGACTATTTTAATGATCCCGTTTTCCCCGTAGACTATCTAGGAAGCACATTATAGTTAAAATGTTATTCACTCAGCCATGTATTCTTGAATTCATTCAACAAGTATTTAATTATCTAACATATGCCAAACACTCTGCACAATAGTGAAGATGTTAAAGTGAGTATGACATGGTCCCTGAAATGAACACAGACATGAGAACAAACAGCAACAATGCAACGGCATGAGGACCAGAAAAGAGGTGGGAAGGGGGCATGGGAGCACAGAAAGCAGGCCTCTTTTGAGAATTAAATTAGCTAATTTACACAAAATACTTAGCGTTAAGTTCAGACTTAGTGTTAAGTATTTATCCTAAATACTAAGTATTTACCCTACCATACTAGGATACAGTAGGCATTCAATATTTTATATTACTATTCATATATATTTATTTTTTTGAGACAGAGTTTTGCTCTTGTTGCCCAGGCTGGAGTGCAGTGGTACAATCTGGGCTCACTGCAACCTCTGCCTCCTGGGTTCAAGTGATTCTCTTGCCTCAGCCTCTCCAGTAGCTGAGATTACAGATGCTGGCCACCGAGCCTGGCTGATTTTTTGTATTTTTAGTAGAGATGGGGTTTCACCATGTTGGCCAGGCTGGTCTTGAACTCCTGACCTTAGGTGATCTCTCTGCCTTGGACTCCCAAAGTGCTGGGATTATATTCATATTTAATGTAATAATTAAATATAATAATATAATGTAAAATTCAATATTTTATTCTCAACGACTAGGTGAAGAGTGAAAAACGGGGATGAGATGGAACAAGTTTGGGAAGGAATATAAATTAACATGTTGACCTGTTGAATCTGCAGTGCCTGCGGGACCCCCCAGTGGAGATGTTTGGTAGCAATCACAAAATGAAACTGGAGCTTCAAAGATAGATAAGAGTGAGAAATATTAATCTAGGAATTATCAGTAAGTAGGTGATAATTTAAATTTTGGATATGGGTGAGATTATGTCGGGAAGGAGAATAGGTGTGGGAAAATACAAATCTGAAGGCAGAACCCTGGAGAATACCAGCATTTAAGACGCAAGAAGAAAAAAAGAGCCCACATAGTTACAACCAAATCAGTGGGAGGAAATCAAAGGAATTACAGGACAACTTTGACAGAGTATCAGACATTCTAGAATTAATGAAAATTTATCAATATTTAATTTCAAATTAGTTCAAAGATAACAATGGTATTTGATATTAACTTTCCATTAAATTTCTTTCATAGTGTTTTAAAATAAATCATTATAAGTAGCTTAAGAAGACATGTGGTCATAATACAAAAAATGAATACAGAACAATGGCTATAGGTATCAGCATTAATGATCCTTTTTGTCAACATTCGAATTAGGAAAACAACTCTTACAAAAAAAATTTTTTTTTTTAAAAAGATCTTCCTGTTTCTGTAAGGAATGCCAATATAAAAGAGAAAAATTAGGCCCCAGTAGCAGCAAAAAGTAAAGAGATATACAAAGTAAGAAAGCGGTTTAAGCATTAATTCAAGAGCTTCATTGCTCTGTAGTAAAGATTTCATGAATCTAGAATAGGTATCAAGATGGGCAGGAGTTGAAGGAGAAGCCAAGTGTTGAGAGAAAGAACCATTCTGAAAACCCACAACATAGTAACAGTAGCTTCACTGTCAACTGAAAAAGAACACATTTGGGAAAAGTTGTTTTGCAGCTGTTATCAATATGTGTCATCATTTCAAGTCATTATTATTTTTTATTTTATTTATTTGTTGTTTAGTTTCAAGCACCTAAACTTTGGTATGCTGCCATCAAGTGGTAGGAGGGTCTATGAAAGTAAGAGAAGATATTTTCTCTGCATTTTGCTCTTTTTGAAACTATGAAACTGCTTTTCATTCTACTCAAGCTACACACGCTTACAAACACAAACACACATTTACTTATTATTGATCCCTGTGGCATATTCTGCTGATCTCCTGCCTAGATTCCCTCAGTCCCTTCTCCCAGTTGCCTACAGCTTCATAGAAAAATTTTTTCCATGCAATGATATCTTACTTCAAGCCCCTGTGTCTCTCCACCTGAGGACAGTTTCTGGTGTCAGGAGTGTGCTCAGTCTACTTGTAAGGCAGGCTGGAAGTGCCAGAGATACAATGTCCATTAAACAATCATCAATTCATGATAGATGGGATTTGGTGAATAAAAATACTTCAGCCTCCTCATCCATTGAAGGAGCAGTTCTGC